AAAAAAAAAAAAAAGGATAAAGCCACCCCTTCTTGTCTGCCATGTAAAGTTCTTCCCTCTCTCCCCCACCTGATGTGCTAAGTCCCAATATAGGATAAAATCGCTGGTTGACTCCATTATTCTTTAGACTTTACAACCATGTGAAATTGCCCTATGAATGTTATTAAATCTTCAGTTTTTTTAATTAATTGGTCTGATTTAATTTACTCTTTCATCCAGCTTCAGAATAACCCAAATGTGATAGGGAAATTTCCCTCTGTATAATCAAGCAATTATTAGCATACAGATTTCAATGTTGGGGATTTGCTTTAAAATAATGGAAAAAAGAAAAAGGATAGAGAGTAATACAAGGCTTGTATTAAGGCTGAAGTTGGGAGACAGTTGCACATAGGTTCATTATTACATTTGCCAATTTTTACAAATCTCCATAATAAAACTTTAGGGGGAAACAAAACAAAGCAAACAGGATCTCCCTGGTGGCACAAGGAGTAAATCGCAGGACTATGAAGCTATCCACAGCCACAGCAGCAAAAGTCAGATCCCTAGTCAGGGAGGTGACCCAAATGGCGCAGCAGACCTCTCTGGTCGCCCAGCTGCTCCCCACAGCAGTGCATTTCAGTCCATCTGCCTGTTCTGCTTTCCACCGTCTCTAGTGAATCCTCTCACCCACCACACCTCTGGAATGTACCCCAGTTCTTATATTTGTAAATAAATAAATTTTTTTAAAAAACAACAAATAAGAAAAAAACAAGCGAAAAAATGTTTAAAGAGACAAAACAACTTTAGGGGGGAAATAAAATCTATGCTACCTTTTTGTAAAACTTAAGCAAAAATATAAACAAAATCTAAGTAACAAAAATGTTAATAGTCTACATCCAGTGGTTATGGTAAAATAATTTTTCTTTATACTTTGTATATTTAGCTCTCTACATCATGCAATTATCAATTCTACAACCAGAATGTAAACTAAAAGTATCATTTCAAATAAAATTCAATGACAACTGCACATGACCTTTAAAATCTTACAAAAACTTTTTTAAGTGCAGTGATTTAACTTTCCTGATCCTCTACAAAAAAAGTGCAAACCGGCATTCTCAAGCTGAAACCAAACATACTACGAAGGAAGGCAACAGATTGAATCTATGTAAATTCAAATCCCATCTCGACCCACTAGCCTGTGAGCGAGGATAAACTACATCTTTTTCTTCCTTGTCGTCATCATGGTGGTATGAGTACCCCAGAGAGCTCTTATATGATCTCCCCACACAGCTCTTGTATGATCATTCATATAAAGCTCTTAGAATACTTAGCACTAAGAGCTTAAATATCTTTATTCTCATGTCCAAGGACTCTCCCATTCCTCCCTGCCCTATTCAACAAATATCAGAGTATCTCCATTGCGGATTTTGCAGATGAGTAAAAAAGATAGCATCTCCCCTAAGAAACAATTTAAGAGAAAAAGGATGCTCTATTCAGGTGAGACAGTTGCCAGGACAGGGAGTCCTCCATCTCCCTGCAGCCTTTTACCACGAAGTGAAGGCTAAGGAGTAGACAGGACGCCTAGAGAAATCGACAATCAGAATTCCTGCATACATTACACTGGACATCCCAGACAGCAGCCAACAACTGGGTCATCCCGGTGACCAGTTACAAATTCAATTAACCCAATCAACTAACTAAAAACAATCACTACGAACCTGAATGCTGCCTGGCTCCTTTCAGGAATCAAAGAGTAGAGGCCAGTGCCGTCTGAGCTCTGACTCCATCCCGGGTTCAGAGGCTTTGGGGAACTTAGCGTTTCTCGGGAAGTTAAAGAGCACCAGTAATAGAGAGACCTATTCTTTACCACATGCCTGGCTTTAAGCCTTTCACTTGCACATTCTCATGCAACTCTCAGTAACTGTATCAGTAGCTACTAGTATCAATTCACTGAGGAAAGAGAGAGGCATGAAGATACTCCCGAGGACCAAGCCACCGGGAAGTGGCAGCGCCGCAGGTGGTTGGGGAAGGGGGTGGGAAGGCTCAGGACCCAGCAGTCCCTCAATCCCAGTGACCGAAGACCACGCCCGGGGCCCAAGACCGGGATGCACCCTCCTCACCCTCCAGGAGCGTCAAGCAAAGGAAACACAAACCCCGCTCTTCGCCTCAGGCGGATTCTCTTCCTTGTGGCGCTGGACGCTAAAGTGACCACAGCACCGCGAAGAAAAGTAGCGAGGGCGCAGGGGCAGGAAGCCCCGCAAGGGAGGGGCTCACCTTTCTGAGAGCACCAAAGGCCGCGGCCTAGCGTACCTGGGGCGGAAGTGGTTCTGCCTGCAGACACCGCCAAGACTACACTTCCCAGAACCCCCGGCGGGAGTAGGGACAGGACCACTGCTCCTCTAGCGGAAGTCGTCCAACTACTGTTCCCAGACTACATTCCCCACAATTCCCGGTCGGAGCTGGGAGAAGGCCGCCTCCCGACGTGGAGGAATTGATCCAACAACAGCGTTCGCGGACTACACTTCCCAGAATCCCCAGGAATGCCCGGCGCGGTTTTCGGATAGAAGTGCCGACCTTACGCCTCCAGCCTGGATTGTTTCAAGGCATTCCAGTCCGGAACGAATTCCATAACCCCCGCATTCTGGAGCCGAAATGCTTCTAGGGAAAGCTCTTAGTATGCACTTCTGTATTTTCTCCAGCAGACCATGTAGTAAAGGCACGCACGTTTTCGGGAGTGTAGTCTCTGGCCCTGTGACTCTTGACTACAATTCCCGGAATCACCTGCGGGAAAGCTCTTCCGACTAGGCTGCCCTCATTTTGGATAGTGTTCTGGATAGTTGGTATTCTCTTTTTAACAGGCTAAATGTATTTTACACAAGTTGAGCTTGGCCATACTGCGCCCCTCGCCCCCCCGCCTATTTTCTCCTTGAACTTCAAAACGTATTAAAAAAACAAAAAACATCTACCTTATTCCGAAAAATTACTTGTTTCCAAAACAAAACAATCTTAAAATGAGTGGGAAAATAATATATATATAATTTTTATTATATATTT